TGGATGTTCGACAATTATCTAAGGTGATATTCCTAATGTTTATATAAGGTACCTCCCGAAGAATTGCGTTTCCATCATTTGTCATAACAATTCCTCCTGTGGGATCCATTAGCATTTTAAGCATTGCCCTCGGGCCCAAACATGTGCGGACAACATCAGCGACAGTCTTCCCTGCTTGAATATTCCCCTGTTGAACATTTTTTCCCTGTTCACGTCGCGCATTTTGGTCTAACAATGAAAAACAACGAACTCACTTAGTATAATGATGGGGGCACCGGTGTGCATGGCGAGGACGATATTGCTATGGGCGCCAAAAATAGAAGAGCGGACAACCGGTTCGAGAATATTTCGGATGGTCAAGTAAATAAAGTCTTGAGGAATATTAATTTTTAGCTATATAAACCTTATTATGCAAAAATAATATCAAAATAATTTATTATTGTGCTTATTTGTTTAAGATGTGCGGATGCTTTGTATATTTAATAAGTAGTTCAAGGCACTGATTTAGTGAGATTGATTACTTAAGAAATCCTGAATTGTATACAATAAAAGTAGTGTATGAATGGATGTTCTCGCCTACCTGCTTTTCCAGATTGGAGATAGTTAATCTCCTCAGGAATTTGCTGTTGGAAATTTTAGCGTTACCTGTTTATGAAGCTCTCAATAGCAATGGATTTAAGATGTCCATAAAATTGAGTTTATATCAACAAAATTTTGCATGAACTAAGTTTGTAAATGAAAAATATCTTAGCTTTTATGCATGAAGAGAGGCTTCCTTAAAATACCTATGTTAGTAAAAAGAAAAAGAGGGTCTCAAACACTTTTATCAACTTTGTATTTTTGGGACTTTGAGTCATCAAATAAGGTTCTACTACTCTTCAACGAAATACAGGAAACCTTTATCATGGTCTAGGAGGCATATTAGTCAAACTTTCATATTATAGTTTAATTGAAGATATGAAGACCAATACGATGTGGCTCCCGGTATGTTCGAAGTCTCCTTTCAATTTATAGAACTAGTTGACCTCGTTGTCGCAATTTGGTCTTGTTGTTGTCAGGGGGACTTAGTAGAACGCGCCTAGTCTGAAGTCCTTTGCCATAGTAGTTATCATAATTCCCAGTATTAGACAGTGGTATTGGTACATTCTCATCATAGTCGGCATCATCAATGAGTGCTGTCATTCTCCGCAGCAAAATACGAACTCTTGAAAGAGACAAGTGAATCCAATCCTTCCACCAACATTATGCCAAAAACGGTTACATAATCACTCCTTGTTCTATCCTGGCCTATCTATCTACTCTTAACTCTCTTATCCAAATCCCGCCCTATCACAATTCTCACTTGTTTACATTCCACTCGTAAAAATGTGTGCCATTTTGTGGCAAATCTAGTCTGGCCTCATCACACCTGCAAGTTACTCTGACCTCTCTCTTTCAATGGACTAATCCGACTCGGATCTCAAATAGGATCTCTCTCGTGGTCCTGTAGATCCGTTATCTTTCTGGCTGACCGATTTCATTTGGTTCCAGTCTCAGTCTTCGTTTCACTCCAGAAGCACATACACTGTCTAGACTGTGATTCCCATACTTGCAAATATCAGACATTGTCTTTAAGAGTCGTCTGCTTGATTAAAGCATGTTAGATTAGCAAACTATAGACACCTATATCTAGTTGCATGCGGTATCTCAAGTAGATTTCTGGTACATTTTGATCATAACGCCGAATTTCTGTGACGGTTTGCTTATCTGTCTGCCTTGCTCCCTGACTGTTAGGCCCCCAAAGTTATACATGTTTCTTCAAACAGACTTCACTTATTGAGTATGTCTTTGCTTGATTGCCGAAAACCCTCGTCCAAACTTTCCTCATCTCGATCCCTTTCCTCCTGTTGGCGTTCTATCCTTGATCCAGGCGTCTCCTTTTTATTCGTCTTGCTGCATCCTTGTTTTCCTCGAGTTTGCTTAAGCAGTAAGCAAAATTATCTCTAAGTCTACCTTCCTCCATTCTCCAGTTCATTAGTTCTTTCTCCCCAACGATGTCAATGGCCTCCATAACCTTCCGCTTCCTTGTGTTTTCGCAATGAGGCTATTTTTTTGTTACCTTCCAATTGATCTCATGTACAGTCTGTGTGATGTGTTCCGCTAATTCTGACAACAACAAGATCAACCCATTTCCAGATTATATTACATCCAAGTGACTTGAAATGTGTGATTTGAATCTACCTAAAGCAGCACTATTATCTATAAAATAAGTTCAGAAGGCACTTTGAGTTCTACAATGTTCCAACTTATACATTATTTTTCGTTTATAAGCAATATTGTCCTACAATTTAATATGCCTTGCGTAATATCACCTCTTGTGCCTTTACACCATGTGGCAATTATCCATCTTCCAGTCTACCACACTAGTCCAGTCATCAATTTAAAATATTTTAACTTAATAACTATTATCTTCTAATTTTTTTTAATGATAACTAATCATATGCCCTAAAAAGTTTCAGTACTCGAAATAAAATAAGAGAAAATAAGATAGTAGGCTATTTTCCTTCCACTTAATAAAATTTTTATTTATGGTAAAATCATAAATATGCTGATGAAAGTGAAGTTTTCGTTTTGAATGAAAACCGGGAAATATATTTGCTGTGCTAAACCTTCAAGATTACCACCTTAAAAATAAATAGAATAAACTAAAAGAATAGCAGTGCTATGTACCATAATGGGTGTTTGAAAAACGTTTCCTTGGTATTAGACTCCTATAAAAATGCCAAAAAAGATATAGAAGTGAATTTTCGTTAGATTCTTCACTAGTTTTATAAGGGCTCGTAATAGCATAATTATCACACAATAAAGTAAACAACATCTGCTCATCTGCATGTTCTCTGTCTGAAGAAAAATTATGCACAATTGTAAAATGGGCTACGTACGGATGAAATAAAAATAAAATCCTAATTTTTCTGACCAAAATATTGTTAGCATTGACTAGCAAACATGAGTATAAAATTAATATTATGTAACAGATCAAATGAAAAAAAGGCAAAATTGAAATAATGAAATCTGTCGGAAAGTGTTGTAATAACACTACTGCATTATTAGTGGTACAGTCTATTTAATTTGCGTTAGGCTAAACTAGCTTTAAAAATATATATGTGCCCTGACTCATCAATACACTATCCAGTACCACAAAACACTGTGTTGGAATGAAGGAAGCAGCTGCATTTATAGTAACCGGCTGAGTAGAGTATCAATGCAAAAAAATAATATGAAGAGATTTATCTTAGGTACAAAATCAACGAATTCTAAAGAATAAAAAAAGTTAATATCAGAGCGAGGTTGGGAATCTCTACATAACTAGATGCAAAATAGTGTCTCCAGCATAAAAGAATTACTGGGCATCGGATCTCCTACGGTAAGCAGATTTGATTAATAAAAACATTCGACCAACGATGAAGGTTATCCTCAATTAACTTAGCCACGAGTCTTGGTTTTGTGCGTAGTGAGTAGGATTTCGAGACAGTAGACCTTAAATAATAGCTTCAGTCATACTAGATACAAAGACCAATATGGCATGGCCTTTCATTTTGTCGTAGTCTCCTTTAGGTCTACAGTCTTGGTTTGTCCTCATTTTCGCAACTTGGTCTAAGCGACGGGGACCAAGAACTGCAAACGGCATCTGAAATCGGCGCTGAAAGTGATCATGCTTCGCTAAATCCATTTCAAGCGAGGCAACCTTAGGCAAAATTATAAGGAAACTAAAACAGAATAGTGTAAATAGGTAAGGGGGCCATATGAAGTGCGGTCGAAAGAAGAAAATGCAGCACCAGCTAGGACAAAAAATAAGGTCAAGGTCACAAAGATTGAATTGAAAATTTGTCAACTTTGATATGCTGTAACTCTTTGCTAAGCATGGCGCCTCTCGCTGACGACGACAGCGAAAGGTCTTGAAATTTACCAGATCAGCGATCCGGTGCAGGAAATCATCATGTTTACTTGACGGTAGATGATTAATGACTAAATACGTTCCACAAGGTCTCTGTCGCTTCAAACAAGTTGCAAAAATGAGGTCAAACCAACACTTTAGTCACCCCAGTTTGCTTAAGGTGATAAAATACTGTTAAGGAATTTTCCCACAATGATATGAGTGGTCCTCACCTAGTCTTGCATCCTCAGGTGTTCTCCTGTATGGTGGACTGCAGTTTCAACTTTGTCTTATAACTACACCGAGGGAGTTAAGGCACTCAGTCATATGCGACGCTTGGTTCTCGAGGAGTTAAGTATCAGCATTGTGTGTAAACGACTAGTGAAGGTTAACACGAAGCGCGAACATGAATAGCGATAAAAGAAGCACAGTAATGTAGTGAGAAAGTAATCACTAAAACATTACTTCAGGATGATTTAGAATGTTATAAATAAAGAATGAGCGAGAGTCCGCATAGCTTTGTAAGAAATTCAATCAATTACCTCGAGGGAGAATTGGCCTACTAATAGATGAAAAAGGCATGTATCACTGGAAGTTTTGACCTAAAGTAAGGGCATTGTTTCACTCGACCCTGGCCTCTATTATAATAGGAAACTAGTGGAAAACAATTATGCCGAGCGTGCGAAAGTACATTACGCAGTGGAATGAGTTAAGACGACAGGATAAAAGTGACCCTTAAAGAGATTATCATCCAGCAAGACTGCCCTTGTGCATCTTGACGAATTCCCGTTACGTCTGCAATTATGTCTATATTCTTCATGAGTTTCATACACAAAAAGTAACTTTTATCACCGATTAAATAGCGATGTATAGAAAAAGTCGAAGCATCAAAATCCTGTTTCACGTGCTTCATAAGGAGGTAAGCCTAAGTTGACAATACAGTTAGGATAATGGATTATGGACTAATAGAGGATAATGAAAGGTCTGGAGATGGCTTTCTATTAAATGAATCTGTTCGTCTATACCAATAAAAACCATTCGTTGAAAATAGCTCGGAGAATATGCAATCTGGATTAAGATTAGCAGACCAGCAGTCGCGAAATCGGTGTAACAGCCCATCAGCAAAGTAGTGTTAGTTAATCTCAAAATCTCTGAGGAATGTGCACATTATTGTGTGTGCTTCTCCGGTGACGCGTAGGCCTAACAGATAAAGTGGTAAACGATCAACCGATTGGTCATTCTGAGGGACAAATTATCTTCGTAGATTCCATTAGATATTTTCTATATGTATAAGATTTCTGCAGGAATGTATAACGGAAGCATATACGAAATGGCAAGCTAATTATATGATGCACTATACACTATTATTCAAAAAAGAGTCAAATAAACGTCAGGAAATGAATTGAGCAGAAAATGTGTAATTCGATCTTATTATCTAGAGCAAAGGCATGAACCAAGCCAGCGACTCAGCAAGACCGAAGGGAAAAGTTGTGTGGTCTTTGGTTTAGTCTCTTTCGGCGTTACAGATATTATATGAACTTATTTTCCCAAATTATTCGTTTTCAGAACGACCTTGAACTAGATTGCGCCTCCTACCACTTCAATAACAAAGGACTTGAATTAGTACATTCTCGAACATTTTAACTTTGTGGAGCGA